TTGGGTTGGCATTTTACAAAATCCGGAAAATATACAGTTAAATCGGGATATCATACCATACGGATAGAAAAGTCGGAGACCAATTTACCTTTTTTTGGCCCTGACATCAAATTTCTAAAAGCACATTCTTGGAAAGTGCAATGTCCACCTAAGATACGCCATTTCTTGTGGCAAATCTTAACGGGTTGTGTACCGGTTACGGAAAATTTGCGAAAAAGAGGAATTGATTGTGACACGGGATGTGCTAGATGTGGCGCACTAGAGGAAACGATCAATCATACACTCTTTCAGTGCCACCCGGCACGGCAGATTTGGGCACTTTCACAGATTCCTACGGCTATAGGGATTTTTCCCACAGAATCAATTTTTGCGAATTTGGATCATTTATTTTGGAGAATACCTTTCGGAATTTGATTCACCAGCCTTCCCATGGATTATTTGGTATATTTAGAAAGCAAGGAACGAAAAGATCTTTGAAAATTTAGACAAAGACCCAATAGAGGTATTACGATTAGCGGAAAAAGAGGCACAACTGTGGCAGTCAGCTCAAATTGAGCTCCATAATGAAAATCATTGGTCTATGGACTTGGTGAATCGAACTCGAGTGAGGGATGCTTTACTTGAGTCGAATTATTCTGGATACCGTTGTTTTGTGGATGGATCATGGAAAGAAAGTGATAAGTTCTCCGGTACAGGTTGGTTCTGTACATCGTCAAATGGAGAACCGCCAACCATGGGAGCTGCGAACCTCCGTAGAAGTCTATCTCCACTCCATGCCGAAGTCGAGGCCCTTCTCTGGGCGATGAAGTGTATGATTGGTGCAGATCATCAAGAGGTAGCGTTCTTTACAGACTGTTCAGACCTGGTGAAGATGGTGTTTTCTCCAACCGAATGGCCGGCGTTTTCAGTGTATTTGGAGGAATTTCAGAGCGACAAGGAAGAGTTTTTATCTTTTTCTTTATCTTTAATTTCTCGTAGAGCTAATGTTAAAGCGGATAATCTGGCACGAAAAGTTCGTACAGAACCGCTTCATATCACATATGTAAACAACATTCCCCAGGAATGACTCTTTTGAGCTTTAATTAATTTCTGATGACAAAAAAAAAAAAAAATTTATGTTTTCGAATTTGAGTACGACCATATTTAACGGTCAACAACAATACATGTTTTCCTGTTTATTTAGTTGGAAAATATCACTATCTATGCTGAGAGGACCAAAGAATTAAGTATCTATCTATGCTTCTTTATTAATTAAGTGGACAAGAGAGAATAATTTTTTTTACTATTTTATCCTTCTTCTACACCTAATTATTTGTTTTTCTTCCAAATCCTCCTCTTTCCAAATCCTCTTCTTTCTTTGTCGTCACCTCCTTTTCTTCACAAACAGATTTTATATCTAACTCTCCATTTGGTTCATCAAATTCACACAATCATCACCAAATAATGCACAAAAATAGAGAGAACTTACGCGAGTTTGGGATGGATTAAACTTTTAATTTGAAAAATTTGGGGATGAAAATTATGATTTTGTAATTTTGTAATTTAAAATGAAGATGGACAGGATGGAGATAAAGGAAATAAGGAGGAGAAAAGAAGAAGAGAAAGTGGTGAGGTGAACATGGGATGGAGTTGCAGGTGACAATGGAAGAAGAAGAAAATTTGGGAGCATGCCGACAGAGGAAGGTACTCGAGAAGAGAAAGAGATTTTATTTTTTTTTTACGTCCACGATAACACATAAGTTAACCGTGATAAACAAATTATCATGATAAATAAATATGCTAATGCATAAGTTAACGGTAATAAATAAATTACTGGAATAAATAAACATGTTAATATATAAGTTAGTTGATATCAATCAGATAATAAATAATTTAACACGACAAATATAAATTTACCATATAACTTGAAAAGTTATCGTGATACAATATGATTTATATTGCTAATCAAATAAATAATCACCAAAATCACTATCTTTTTTATTTTCTCTAGTGATGAATAGTGTTTTTCATGTTGGCCGAACAATGTTTTAGTTTTTAGTTATCGCGATACAATTTGACTTACATTGTTAATCAAATAGATAACCACAAAAATCATTGTTTTCTTATTGCTTTCAATGATAAATAGTGTTTCCGGTGACAAATGAACAATGTTATTTTTACTATTAGAACTAAACTATTTATCTTGCTATTATTTTTGTTAGCACTCATATCTAAGAAAGAGTAATGTTGGTATTAATTGAGGCTGAGGAAAGAAAACTAATAAAAAAATAAATAATGTTAGATTCTTTATTTTTCATTCTGCTTGGGCATATATATTTAACTCACCCTATTTAGTTTTCAAAATTTGCATATATTAATTACAATATAAAAAAAAAGAATACAACCATCTTATATATATATATATATATATATATATATATATAAGATTTTTTTATTATGATAAATAACTGATCGAAATTAGTTTTTGGCTCGTCAATTGCAAGAACAATATTTATGTACTAATTAAGACTCATCAACGAACGGTGATAATTGAAAAACAGAAATAATATGTAGTATTTGGTAAACATAGTTTGTCATCATCAAATAGCCTCCAAATATTGAACGTAATTATATTAGTTAGCGTTTGTGGTTTTTATTGGTAAACTCATCAATTTAATTTCTTAAATGGACTGAATTAAGGATTTTATATTTTAGAGACTATCAATCAAGAGATATATCTAAATGGTGGACCTTAAGGTACGTAATGCAATAAAGAAAAGGGATCATCCGTAGTTAAACATAAGAATCAAAAATACTAAGTGCTATAGTTTAACTGAAAATATTTTAGTTAAAGTCTAGATGTTGCTGATTCAAGTGACATTTGAAAGGAATCATATAAAATGTTCTGATCTCTAGCTTGAGAGGATTTACAAACCTGAAGTTATAAACTAGGAAATCACCAAATTTGTTATCTCATTCGGAAGTTTAAATCAATTTACATCAATATTCTTTAAACCAATTACATCACTAGTTCAGTTGATGGTTTGGGAATCTATTTAAAATCACAAGGTATTTAACTCAAAATCGCATTGATGATTCATGTTCATCTTCATCGAATTAGATATTTCGAAAATTATTATTTATTTTATGAATTTGGAGATTTTTTAGGTAAAAATCGAGGGTAAACAAAACAGTAATGTCGTTCATGGCATTGATTTTTATTTGAATTTAAATTATCTAACAAACGAACAATTTGTGATAATTGATTTAGAGTTCTATCTGCCAACATTTAAATTCATATTGTTAAGATTTTAGCCCATCATTTAAAGGTGAGAACCGAGAAGAATGAAAGTGCAAAACCACTAAACTATTTGTCCTGTATGATTATACTTTGATTATAGGATCACTACAAGAAAACATGGATTTAGCGACTACACTAATAGTAACAAAATCGTCGCTAAATACATAATTACGACTGTTTGGCGACTAAAACACGTAGTCGCTGAACCTTGCGTCGCTAAATTAATAAGTCGCATAACAGTCGCTATTTGGCGACTAATAGGCGACCATTATTTGCAGTCGCTATTCAGTCGTCACACAGTCGCTAAGTTTGCGACTCTTTTGGCGACTCTTTTGGCGACTGTTTTGTGACGAATCTAGCGACTGTTATGTCACTACATGGCGACTATTTTCTAAATGTTTTGGTAACTGAATTGATACTACTTTGCGACTGATTATTATCGACTTAGAATGCTAATTTTGGAAGAATAAATTGTTGCTAATTTGATTGTTATTACCAATTTATAAGCAAAAAGACTTCTATTTAAAACATAAGAACATTATAAAATAAAACACAACATAAACATACATAAACATAAGAACCAAGTTCAAGTAACCAAACAACTTACACAAGTTTTCAAAGCAACACAAATGTTTTCAAGTTCAGAGAAGGAGGGAAAGTTTAGAGAAGGAGGGACCTATGGTTGTTGAGCAGTAGGAATAGTAGCAGTAGTAGCAGCAGTCGTGGCAGCAGCAGTGGCAGCAGTCGTGGCAGCAGTAGTAGTATCAGTGGCAGCAGATTGAGACTTGAGGAAGGCCATAAACTTTGGGTCAGTCTCGCTCAAATACTTCTTCACCATCGCCAAATGCTTGATCTCAGCTGCTTGCTCAGCTGCGACCCGCAAAGCCTCTGCTTCACGTTCTGCTTGGAGCGCTGCTTGTTCCTCTATCTTCCGGTTAGCATCCTCAAGCTGTGATTGGAGTGTTGTGAAAGAAGAACTGCTTCCTGGGTACTTGCGCTTCCCGTTGATGTAAACCCCGAGGCTGCCAACACCAAAGTATTCTCCTCTGTCGTTTGTGACAGTAGACTGCATACCAAAAGAAAGAGTATTACACAGTTAGACTGCATAACAAAAGCAACCATAAATAACAGACTATTTACCTGAAGGAAGATCTCATCATCCTCCTCTTGAGATAGCTCAGATCGTCGCGAAGTCCCATCTGCTTGTTCATCATTCTCTTGAAGGGCAGCCAACTTAGCTGCCTTGTTCTTGAGATATGTTTCATGGACTTCCTGCGCCTTCCTATCCACAAAAGTCCCATCCTTCTTGGTATGAGTCCTGATGAAAACTTCACCAATAGTAGGAGGTCTTCCCAATTCAACTTCCTGAACAAAGTAAATATATAGGTCTAAGTAATCTAAAACTAAAACAAAGTAAATAGGTCAGAATGTACCATCTCTTGCTCTATTTGTAAAAACGACTTTGGACCAGCAACATGCTTGTGAGGACCAAGACCATTACGGTCAGACATCCTAGCTGCTGATGTGGTTGAACTCTTTGCTAATGCTTCTTCAGTGTCCCAATAGGCACACATCTCTATCCAAAGTGTTTTCTCGATCCAATTTGGCCTCTCTCGTTTTGAACATGCCTTGCTAACCATGTCTTTCATCCGCAGCTGACAAATCTTGTAGAATTTAGCTTCAACAACACCTGTCACTGAGGGATGCCAGGTGTGTAGTTTCTACAAAACAAGAGTAGAGTTTGGTGTTAGTGATCAAAAAACAAAACAAAAGTGTAATTACATAAGTATAAGAGGAGACAGAATTTTACCGCGAATTCGAGGAAGTATCTTTCTCTTCTACCAGTAGGAACACAGCTCCAACTGTAATATGGCCCATCAAACTTGTTTGTGAAACATTTAGTGATCTTCCGGGTTAGCTTTCCATTGTCCTTACCAAACCTACAATAAAATAAACCAGTTAGCTTTGATACCATCCATAATCTATAAACAAGTAGACCTAATCAAATACAAACATACTCAAACTCAAATTATACAACCAGACTCTACTTAAGTTATACAAGCAGACCAATAAAGCTAATACTATATACTAAGAGACTCTAACTCAAACTATACAAGCAGACCTATATACAAGCAAACCTAACAGACTATAAGACCAAAACATGCAGACCAATAAGAAGACTCTACTTAAGTATTGAAAATGTTTACCAAGCTAACCTATTTACCTAATCTATATACAATCAGACCTATATACAATCAAAATTAAAAATGTTTACCAAGTGGTTTCAGGCTCGAGGTTGGGAGAGATGACGGTGGTGTACTTCTCACGGCCTGGGATGAGAAGTGTAGCATGTAAATCTGCGAGGACATCTTCTGGGAGTGTTGAATCCCTCAACACATCTTCTTCAGATTCACCTTCAGCTTCCTCATCTTCAGATTCCTCGTGTGAGTTTTGAGCCTGAGAACTATGATGCGATACAGAGGCTCGAGGTTGAGGAGAAGGTCTTTGTTGACGAGATGGTATTTGTCGATTTGACGCTGCAGGCTGAGTCGACGCTGGAGGTTGAACCGGCGCAGGAGGTTGAACCGGCGCAGGAGGTTGATTCGACCGAGAAGCTAGACGATGAATAGATCCTACAGAGCCTCGTCCTTGAACAGATCCAGACCCTCGAACTTGAGTAGATCCAGATTCCCGAAATGGATGCGACCCAGAGCCTCGAGGAGAATCATCGCCGGACTGGAACAGCTGCGTCGGAGGAGGATAGTCTCTATGAGTCGGAGGCTGAGACTCTAGGGCTACAGGATTTACCGGACTTTGCTGAGTCTCTCGGGCTTCAGGATTCGCCGGAGTGAAGGTATACTGGCTAGGAAGAGTACTGGGTCTTCGATTTGACGTCCCAGAAGCAGTGGGTCGATTGGCGACAGGTCGATTTGGGGAAACCTTCGGAGCCCTTCCTCCTCCTCCTCTTCCTCTCTTACTTTTTCCACCACGAGGAGCCATCGAGAGAGATACAAAAAAGGATTAAGAAGATGAAGGATTGATAGGATTTAGAGAAGAATTGATGGGGAATTAGGGTTCTTCAGTGAAGAGGAAAAGAGGATTAGGGTTTTCTGCGATGGGAAAACGAAATATATATTGGGTCATTGGGCTTCTTGGCCCAATTTGAATGTCCAACTAGAATTACGCAGTCGCTAATTCGTAGCCACTGAGTCGCTCCAGTTGGCGACTAAATATTCGGTAACTAATCCGTCGCCATATTTAGCGACTATATAACGACAATATAAATCAGTCTCATATTAGATACTAATTAGCGACTATCGTATTTTGGTTCATATTTAGTCGCCAAAACGTAGCTAAACGGTCACTAGATATAGCGACTGCAAAATTAGTCGCCGAATTAAGTCGCTAATCTCATGTTTTCTTGTAGTGGATTGTGACAATATATATTATACATTTTGTGAATGTCAAATTTTATTCTATGTGACACATATACATTAATGGTTTAGCAAGTACGTACAAACCATGAAAAATGTGAGCGATTTCAATTATAACATCAATTCTCCTTAGCATTTCCGCTTTTATTGAAAAAAAACGAGTGAGTACAATTTCTCTTCTATTTTCTTCTGTTTATATAATTTGTCTCTTGTCGTATCACCTACATTTCCAGCATTGGATGTTATAAATGCGAAAAAACTATATAGTAAAAAACATGTCAGCATCGGGCTATTTCAAACTATGTAAATTATGAAGAAATTATATGATCTATTCTAAATAATTAATTAGGCTAAATATGATTCTAGTGAAAAATGTCACGCTCAATTCTCTTATATAATAACCTCTTCCCCTGAAGCCTTTCTTTAAGTCTTTTCATCTTCCTTCTTCCTTCTCCTTCTTCTTTGTTCAAACACAAAAGACCGACAAAAGCCTCTGTCTTAGACAAAGATAAAGAAACAGAACAACACAATACAGATTACAGAGAAAGAGCAATGGCTATTACACAAATACTTGTCCTCTTTGCTTCTGCATTACTCCTATCAATGTTCTTCACTGGCGTCGATTCCACAAGGTATTGAAATGTTTTGGATCAATGTTTTTATGTGATCTGGTTCATGGAAATAGAGCATTAACTTCTCAAATCTATGTTCAAACAAGAGAACCCTTTTTCTTGATTTGAATTACTTGATCATGATTATTTGGATTTGGTATTAAAGATCTAGAATTGGAAGGAATTCTTTTTATATTCTATTGATTATGTACAGATCCATTTGCTTAAACACCGGTGTGTTATTAGAGAGTATTGAATGATGATGCAACATTTCAATGATTGTAGTGTAAGTAGTGATTAAGCAAGGTTTAGTAAATTGAATTGTTTTTTTTCGGGTTTAACTAATGATTTGATTAATGAATTTCAGGTCTATATGAAACTGTGTAGGAACAGGCAGTTGAGAATCCAGAGGAAGTAGCTGCCATGGTGGACATGTGAGTTTTTCTGTTGCTTAAATTTTGTGTTTTATCTATAAATGATATAATAATGATTGTTGTTTGTTCTCTAATTAAGTAAGCTAGCATCTAATGCGATTGGTTAGTTAGTAAAAGTGTAAACCCAAGAAAAAAAAAACACTAAACTAGCATCACTTGACGTTTTGGTTGGATAAATTCATGTGATCTTCTTTTATATTATTAAGTACTTAAAAAAAAGAAGATAAAAACTTAAAAAACTGGTGAAAGTTGTATTTATGTGGAGCAGGGATCACATGGCACTTGTGTAAGAATTTTTTATACATTCTGGTCAAAAGGTCAAAATCCATAGGGCCAAACACCACAACCTCGATTCCATTTCTTTCCTACTTTTTTTTTTGGTTGTATTTATTTCCTACTTTTTTCCCTATATGTTATAAATATTTTCTCTTTTATGCAAATTATAACCGTTTTAACTATAAAGTATTTTCTTGGTTCCCGCGGAATGACTTTTCCAATGAGAAAATCTTTTGATTATTACTCTCTCCGTTTTCGAATAGTTATCGTTTTAACTATATGCACACAAATTAAGAAACTATTAATGTTGTTAGATTTTCAATATAAAAATATCATTAATTATCTATCTAAACATAATTTAACCAATAGTAAATCAAGTTGCATAATAAAATAAATATAAAAAATAAAAAAGTAATAAATTTTGCATCGAAAACTGAAAACGACAACTAATTAAAAACAAAAAAATTTCTCTAAAACGACAACTATTCGAAAACTGAGGGAGTAGAATTTTTAATTTGCTGTAAAAAAAGAAAAGATATAAATTTTTATTTTGAAAGATTGGATATTTTGATACCTTAAGCTTTAGAGCTCGTTTGTCCATGTACTGAATTTTGCTTTGTTTTGGTTTCCATGTTCTTAACTTCTTTTTTGGCATGAGACCAATCAATGGGTTTAAACAATTTGTAATCATTTAATAAAACCTAAATTTTTCATTTTATAATGTTGTTTACATTTTTAGCAAAATAAGAGATTTCATTTTTTTGTCAACCAGTAAAATATAACTGTTTGGAAATCTCAAAACGGAGGAACAAAATCTACATACATATATACAAAAATGAAAAATCAAATAAGTTCTTTATGCTTATTCTTATTGAGGGGTTTCAGAGTTATGGGTGGACCAGACATGAAACATGATGCATAACATGGTTCATTTAGTTGAGTAGGATTTGGATGGGATTCTTCATTTAATGCAATGCACCCAAATCATATAGATGAATACATATTTTTGTAAAAAACATTAAATATTAGTTGCTTGCGAAAATCTTATGGAGTTATTGTAGACATTGGTCCAAAAACACGTGTAATGTTCTTGTTTTTGTTTTTAAAGAGAAACATGTGTAAATGTTCCAACACCTAATCTTTAAAACAGTGAATTGCCATCAGCCTCATGCATCTGCCTCGTGTAGTGTTGTTCTCTGAATGCTTTCACTGACTATCTTTAGTCTTATCTCGTTTTATTTCTAATAACAATCGTACTTTAAAGATATCTTTGGCACATGTTAAAAAAAGTTTATTTACAAAGTTTTATATTGTGAACTCTAATAATACTATACTAGTTTTGTTTTTGTAATTTATTGTGCATAGAGACCTTAGAAGTTAGAACCGGTTTTGTGAAACTTAAAACTTAGTAATTATATATACCACAAATATTAAAAGATGTTTCAATGGGTTTTTTTTATTTATTTATGAAGGATGGAAGTTTCAATGTTATGATATACTATATGATTAAAGGAATAGTATTCTGGATTATTATTACTCAAAACATATACCACTATTCTAGCGTCATTTCTAAGAAATTTTAGCAGTGTTTTTTTCTTTTTGGCTTTTAGAAATCATAGGATTCTTGATTAAATAGGAGTAATTTGCGTAACAAAAAGCAAGAATATTTACAAAATAAAAAAATTAAAAAATTCAAGTTTTTTTTTTTACAATGCGTAAATCAGAAGCATTAGAATAATCCCACTGACGCAAATAGCCAAATAATTTGTCAAATGACACACATTAATAGTGGTCCACCAAATTCCTTTGATTTCGGTTTATTTAGTGATTGTCATACTTCAATTTAGCTTAGTGATCATGTTAACCTAATTTGGTTCGACTAAACCGGTTTTGAATGGTTCAGGAGCATTCGAAACAGCACAGAACGAAGAAAATTAGGATACTTCTCATGTTCAACCGGAAATCCAATCGACGACTGTTGGCGTTGTGATCGGAGATGGCAATCTCGGCGAAAAGCTTTAGCCAATTGCGCAATCGGATTCGGTCGAAACGCAATCGGAGGCCGAGACGGTCGTTACTACGTCGTAAGCGACCCAAACGACGATAACCCGGTTAACCCTAAACCGGGAACATTACGTCACGCAGTAATTCAAGAAGAACCACTATGGATTGTCTTTAAACGTGACATGGTCATAACATTAAAAGAAGAACTAATCATGAACAGTTTCAAAACAATCGATGGTCGTGGTGTGAATGTTCACATAGCTAATGGTGCATGTATCACGATTCAGTTCGTGACTAACATTATCATTCATGGGATTCATATTCATGATTGTAGACCAACTGGTAACGCTATGGTTAGAAGCTCTCCTTCACATTATGGTTGGAGAACTATGGCTGATGGAGATGGGATTTCGATTTTCGGGTCGAGTCATATTTGGATTGATCATAATTCGCTTTCGAATTGTGCTGATGGGCTTATTGATGCTGTTATGGCTTCTACTGCTATTACTATCTCCAATAATTACTTCACACACCACAATGAGGTAAGATTTTGTGTCAAGTTATATATTTTTTGGTTGCTTGGATCAAAAGTTAGGGTTTTTTTTTTTATGGTAGCTCTGTGTTTGTGACAGGTTATGTTATTGGGACATAGTGATACCTATACAAGGGATAAGGTTATGCAAGTTACAATTGCTTATAATCATTTCGGTGAAGGTCTTATTCAGAGAATGCCAAGGTACATACTTTGGCCTAATGTATGATCTTTAATCTTTAGAAAACTTCGAAAACTCGACAAAATATACGTTTTTCATTGTAGGTGTAGGCATGGATATTTTCATGTAGTGAACAATGACTATACGCATTGGGAAATGTATGCAATCGGTGGCAGTGCGAGTCCTACCATTAACAGCCAAGGAAACAGATATCTCGCCCCGAGAAACCGGTTTGCTAAAGAGGTACTTTCTTTCTTCCAATCACCAAAAACCCTCGACTTCATGATCCTACAAGATTAGGTCAACTCGAAGGACCGATCTTTCTTGGCTTTTGAATTAACTCAATGTCAAAAGATGATGATCATAGACAAGTAGAACCCTTCTACTTATAGTTTCATGTAAATTCTGACCGCAAAAACTGATGGGATGTTGTTGCAGGTAACAAAGAGAGACTATGCAGGGCAATGGCAATGGAGGCATTGGAATTGGAGATCAGAAGGAGATCTTTTCTTAAACGGAGCATTCTTCACACGTTCTGGATCAGGACTTGGAGCGAGCTACGCTAGAGCTTCAAGTTTAGCAGCCAAGTCATCATCACTTGTTGGCGTCATCACCTACAATGCCGGTGCTCTTAATTGCAGAGGTGGTCGCCGGTGTTAATAGTTACTAATTTTTATCTTCTTTTGGTTTCTTGCATTATACATGGCAATAGCACTATTGAATGTCGAGGCTTGATTTAAAACTGTCTCAACTGTACTATAAAGTTGTAATGATTTGTTTCACCGCCAATTATTGATGTATCTATAAAAGCAAACAAAGTTGGAACTCTTCCTTCTACTCTCTCATCTTAGTTTTTTCTTACACCAAGGGTAACATAAACATAGCAATTTATCACAAAACAAAAAAAAAAGCATAGCAGTTCTTTGGGGAATACAATGAATCCATAATGTTAGTGAAGTTAGGCCTGCGACTATGGTTTGTTGGATAGTTCGATTCGGTTAGTTCGGTTATGGGTTAACCGAAGCAAAATTAGAGGATGCCATAATTAACCGAAAATAAGTTCGGTATGGATTGGTTTGATTCTCGGTTAATTTCGGATATGAGTTTCAAAACCAAATTTAACTGATTTTTTTTTTATATAAATTCCGGTTTAATCGGTTATTTTTGGCTAAATTCTGTTTAATTTTCAGGTTAAATTCATATAAATTGGTTCAATTAAATTTGAGTAATGGTAAAAACCGGTATAAACTTGGTGAAAACGGGTCTAATTTTGGTATAATACGGTTATTAAAAAAATTAATTACTCGAACCAAAACCAAATTTTTTGCGTAATTAAGGCAAAATTAAAATCAACCCGATCGGTTTAGATGAGAGAACCGAAAATCTTGATTCGCTCCGGTTCGATTTTTTCGGTTGGGTTATTTATCCAAGCCCTATTATCGAAATCCCACATAAATGGTCTGTCTTATTATGTAGACTAAGCCTTGCTAAACCCGACCAACCTGTAGGGTCCGCTAACCGGGATTAAGATGGGCTGAGCCAGTCTAACCCCGTTTGGTCGATTGATAACATCCTTAATAATGATGGAGAAGTGTGGGGTATGGTGTCAATGGGAATAAGAGGGGACGTGAAGGTGGTGGAACCACGTGAGAGGAGACAATAACCACATGAGAGCATATGAGGAAGTAAAAGAAAGGACCTTAATATCATTGTCATGTTATGTTGTTGATACTGATAAGATAGGTTTGGCCTATGGCTTGCTTCTCTTGTTGAGTTAAGCTTGATCAAAGCATAAGAGTTAGTTAACTCGGGTTAGTTAACTTGAGCTATAAGTTAGCTAACAAAAGGATATAGTTTGAGAGATTTGGAAATTATCCTTAAAGTATTTAGGAGATATCTAAATACTAAACCTAGTTGGAGTTGGATTAGGTTTATGGGTTTTACTATATAAGAGATGCCAAGGTGTGGTAGTCCTTATGAGTTTTGTGTGAGAGAGTTTGAGAAAGAGAGAAAGCATTGTTTAGTTTTGAGTTAGTTTCTAAACATCAATAAAGAGAATTATTCTTATTGAATCCTTGTGTTCTTTCTTCTTTCAAATTCTATATCTCTTTCATTAAATACTTGTTCACCAAACGCTCTCTTTATGCTAATATCTCTCCTTTTTATTCTCTTAACATAATAACATGTCACATTATCTTAATCTATATATATATATATAATGGGAGAGTCCTCTCTCCATTTAGGCTATCCACATCATCATCCACCTAAGCATGCATCTAATTAAAAATAAAAATATATAATTTATTTAAAATGTTCATTCAATACATACTTATTTTTATTTATTGTTACTTATGATTATAAAATATTTAAGTTAAATACAAATGAATTAATATTATAAGTAAACAGCAAAGAAATATAAATTTATACATAAAAATATAATTTGAATTTTAGTGAGAAAATGTTTAAGATTACTCATATTAAAAATTTTATAAACATTTCAGTTTTATAATTGATATATTAAAAATCAATATGATGGATATTTTTGAAATTGTATGAAAGTTGAAAGATCATACATTTATTAGCTTAAAAAAAAAATAGTAATGAATCATGACATATTTAAAAATCAATATGTTGGGTATTTCTAAAAATTGTATAAAAGTTGGAAAGACATACATTTTTTAGTTTTCAAAAAATATATAGTGAATTAGTGATGAAGCTTATGACAATTTACTAATTAAAATCATAGTTGATTAGTTTATAAATGACAGTAAACAAAATGTTAAAATATAGCTATATAGTATCGTGTATAATAATTGAAAACAAAAAAAAAATATAATTATATATACTATTAGTTTTTAGCTTATCATAAATATAATATAAAATTTTATATAAGTAAATGTATAAATGCATTTGCTAGTAGTACAATTGTACAAACATTATGCACTTATTAAAAATATAAAAGATTATTTTTAAAATATCAAAAATAGGTAGAAATGGCACAATTGCAACATTGGATTTAATAAGATACAAACAAAAAATAAAAATAATAGAATATAAAAATATCGGAACTGAGTGACAAAATTAGTTTCAGAAAGATAAATTCCTAAAGAGAAAGCCAATATATAAAATAAAATAAATATATATATATATATAAATATATATATATATATATATATAAATATATATATATATATATATATAAATATATATATATATATATATATATATATATATAAATAAATATATATATATATAAATCTATATATATATATATATTTTATTTTTGCTTCTAAATACAATAGATCTAAATTTGGAAAAGATAAACCACATTCAATTATAGAAGAAAATGTTATGCATAAGAATTCATGTACTAAAAAATATCTTATTATATAAAGTATGGTTTTCAAAGTTAATAACTCGCATGATCGTGACACGTGTCACGTCAATCGATCAGATGTTGACATGTGTCAAAAAAATTTAACTTTTTTCATTAACGAAATAGAAAAACTAAAAAAAAGAGAATATTTACATATACTAATTTATATATCTAATTTCTAAAATTTGTTAACTTTATTTTCCTCAACTAAAAAGGAAAACTAACAATTTTTTTTACATGTGTTAATTGTTTTTTTAAATCATTATTATGGATATTAAAAAATAAACAATAACCGTTGAAGTTTTAAATAATAATATAAATTATTTATATAACATTAATTTAATTGGATAAAATTGTATTTATCATCGTAATTTAGTGTTTTATTCGTCAAATGAAAACACAAAACTCTTACAAAAAATAATGAGCTTATAAGAACGAATGAATATTTAAATATTTGAAAAGACTATTAGTGTGGTTATACTTATATTTTATTTTAAGAATTTTAACGCATGTAGTCATAATTATAAACACAAATATATGGGAAAATGGCTTATAAGATTGAATTTTCGATTACTTAATGAGAATGCTAATATATATATTTTTAATGATTTATTTATTAATTTTAACTCATTTTAAAATAGTTTGCCATGGGTAAAACTAACTTATGAGATTAAGTTATATAGAAAAACTATATTTTAAACAATTTTTGTTTTCCATAATTTTTGTGGATTTCTATTTTCTATTAAATGTTTTGTTATTTGTTAATTATATTTAATATTAACTAAGTTATAGTTTTGATATGGTATACATATGATTTTGATATAAAATTATTATTAGAAGTTTATCCATTAAGATGAACTATGAAGACTTAAAATTAAGTTTATTATGATGCTATAGATAGTTTATTACGATGAAATAAATAGTTAAAATGTATAGTAAAATGGAATGTGTAAAATTTAATTTTTGTTTAAAACAAAAAGTACTAAATTATTAAATATTAGGAAAAGTGTATGGATTATTATTTATTATTCAAAATTCAAATATCATTATAATTTTTATATATTACACCCGCCTATTTAGGCGGGCCTTATCTAGTATATATATAATGAACGGTCATAGGATATACTAAGTCAAATGCAAAAAAAAAAAAAACGTTTAATATATGTAGTATATTATAAATAGACGTGTAAATCTATACAATTATCACTTATAACATTTCTATTATATTTATATAACCGCTTTTTTACCAATAGAATTATATATAGTTTTTAAATAGTATTGTAATAAAAAATATTTAAAATAATGTAATTTACAAAACTATAAAAGAATTAAATATATATTACTAAACTCACGCAATAAACCCACGCAACGCGTGGGTCCATTTCTAGTTAATTATAATTTGTTTCTGAGTATTTTCTTAAACAATTTGAATTGTGGGTTGGATCAATACATATTAAGTTTAAAATTTGATATTCTTATAAAACGCATTTATCTATACAAACATAACACAATTACATTTATGTTAGATAAAAAAAGTAGTCAAAATATTTCAGCCCTTTTATTTGATGATTTAATTTATAGTATTTATAGAATTGGTATAAAATTATATGGTCAACAAATATTATGTCCATTTGTAAGAGTCAACAACAGAATCACAACTTGTTAAAAATATGAATAGGTTTTACTAATATAGTTACTTGCCGCATTAAGGTTTGTTCCTCTTGTAGTATATAAGATAAACTATTTGAGAACAATAAAATAAATTTTACATACAACATAAGAAATAATACGAATAATTAATAAGTCTTGCACCATGTCTAGAAAATTATTTTCTTTTTTCATGGTTTTGGTAGTTCTCTTCTCAGGTAATTAACTTTATTTTTAATTTTTTCATATTATTGTATTTGCTCAACGATCTAATACGTCAATTTACAATGAGCTTTGAATGTTCACATAACTTCTTTATAAGAAAATGTTTATAGGAAGCTAATGAACTAATCCTATAAATTTTTTCCACAGATAAGCAATTTTATCAAAAAGCATATTAATCTTATGATATTTCTATAGTTTTTAATCTATTTATACATATCTATGAACTTTTACTTACTATTTGTTGCAGTATTATTGATTATTCCTAAAACTGAGGCACAAAAGAGATGCAGACAAGAACTAGAGCCAGGAAAGCAATGTGTGTTGGCAAACTGTAGGGAACTGTGTTTCAAAAAATTGAAAGGATTCGGGAGTTGTATTGAGAAGCCACCAGGCTCTGCTAAGTACACATGTAATTGTTTTTACAATTGTGGTCCACCTGGAGTTTTTTAGAACGCTCGATAATTTAAACTCAATGAAACATTAGTATAAATTTCTATGAATTACAAAATGAAAATTTCTCTTTAAATTACAAAAATGTAATAGTTTAACGTATGATTTGAGAAAATAATATTATATGAATGACAGAACGAGTTAATGCAAACTTTGTGTCGTGTAATTAAAACGAAACATTATTTGGAAGCTTTTTTTTGGGGTGAAATTGTAAATCTGCAAAGGAAAATTTACAATGAGTTTGGACAAGAGTAAAAAACCATGTAAGAAAGAACATAGCTAGCACTAGAAACAGAGCATGTTAGGTCGTAGACGTCTATCATTGAAGTCTCGACATAAATAAAGTCTGAAGCAATCCATTTAGCTTCTTGTTTTCATAATAACGCAACGACATGATTCGGGAGCGAATCGTTTTCTCAACCGTAGTTGCAAGCTGCATTTACGACCTATATTTTTACAAGTGAAAAAATAACTTTATAACAAGAAATGATTACGTTCTTGATATTTAACACGTATAAAATTACAATTTAACTGATAGTACTCATAATACCATTTCTTTATTGATAATGCTCAGATAGTTATAATATTGTGACTATATAAATTTACTTCAGAGATTTGATATATGTTAGCAAGGGTCCATTCCTATCGTTTTGGAGACCTAAAGCAAATTTATCAAGGTGCATGTGGCCCTTTTTTAATTAATAAAATGATTTTTCATAATATTTTGAATATAGAGAAACAAAAATTTATAAATTATAAATTCAAATATGAGGTGCTTAACTTATAATTTACAATTATTATTGTTTAATCTAATAATTGATATGTAGATATGTTATCAAAATCTTTTAGGTTTAAATTTCAGATCTTAATTTTGGAGAATGACTGGCAAATTAAAAATACAAGGATTATGAAAGAGACAGGAAAATGATGTTAAAAGAAAAATAATAGAGAAAGAAAGGGTCACTCAAATCATATATATGAAAAGTTGTCAACTCTCTCTATATGAATGACATACACTTCATCACACACATTATTAAAAAAAAATAGTAAAAATAAATGAGAAAAACCAAAAGTTTCCCATTACATTTAATCCTCCATCAATTCCATTATTAAAAAATTTCAAACAAATATATATAAAATCTTTCGAATGTATCAAGCATTACTTTTACTATACTTTTTTTTGTTTTTCTTATTTTTTGTATCAATGGTCATTACTCGATAATCGCTGAAACTTTACTTATGTTGTAATTTAATTAGTTGTTTGCTACATAACTTTTTATTTGTGTAGTAATTTCACCTTCATTCTTTTTTTATTATTACGTTTTACGCTCCATATATGACTTATCATATAACCTTTTCTCTTTTCATTTTTGTGCTTTATGGTTAGTTGTTAACATTAACATTCAAGTTTTTTCAAGTAATGGTCTTTGAGACGTTAGACATACCAAGGAATTCAAGACACGACGTTCTCTCCTTCGTGGCTATATACAAAGGCAGAAATATGAAAGTGTTGACTTAAATGACTCTTCAATTTTTGCTTTTTGCTTCTTTTTTTCTCTTTTTATATAAAACTCTTAAAACAAATGAGTACTTAATCATGCATTTGTAGTTCAAATTATGTCAATCCAGTATTTAATAATGAGCCTATCATAATGTGGTTCTGGATGAGGAGAATACATGCGACAATGAATTGTTTATTTAGAATCAAGTTAGTCAAATTTTCAAACCACATAAGTAGCATAATTATATACTATTATATCAATATAATTAATATTTTAAATCAAAGATAAATCTTACCATAAAAATTGTAACTACATAAGATGGATCTAACTTTATTAACTACATAATATAACATAAAGAAATAAACATAAACTATTAAGGAAAACAACCAACATATTTTTTTTAACAATTTTCAACATAATCCACGCGTAGCGTGGGTATTCACCTAGTATTAGAAAGGGAAAAATGTCATTTAATAGTTCAACTTTCAAATTTTGGCTATTCTATACACCAACTTCATATGTGGCCATTTTAAACATGAAGATAACGTTGACTAGCCATTTGAACCATAAATATTCGTTGACCAGGCAAAAAAAACTAACCGTTAACAGATTATTTAACATCCGTTAAAACCCGTTAACATCTCCGTTAACCACTCCAAAACGACGTCGTTTTTGAACATAGATATATATAACAACCATAGGATTCGAACCTATCTCCCGCAAGGAGAACCTAAGGCTACATAACCAACTAACCTGAAGCGTTTTATTGGTCATTATACACAAACACATATTCTTATATATTCTTAAAGCGGTTCTTCTTCATCTTCAACCTACGAAACAAAACATCTCCATAACCGCCTCCGAATCCGTGTTCTCTCTCGTATGATTCTCTTTCATCCAAACCATATCGTTTTTTTTTGTTGATTGAATAGATCTCGAATTTGCTAAATTCAATTCATCGGAACCTGTTTCTATGGACACCACTGATGACTTCCTCACGTCATACGAAATCAGCAACACAAACAGCACTAGTTATTCGTCGTCTCACTCTGTGACCTTCGTTGTCGCACCTGTACGTTTATGTATCTGCTCAGCA